CCACATACTATTAACTCCAAAATAGTTTTCATTGATTTCTCTGAGAGTGTTCTAGAAGAAGCTTGCATGGCACAGCCAACAGGGGGTAGTTCATAAAGACTAAAGATTTCTCATTACTGTTTATCATGCCACCCATAATGAGGGAATGCGTCAATATGAAGCAGAAGTGAAATCACCTTTAAAAAAAGAAACTCCAAAGTTTGAGCCCTGGTTTGTCAACATGAAGGAGCTGCGGTGGCTCAAGTGGTTAAGACGCTGAACTGCAGGCTGTGGAAGGTCAGTAGTTCAGCAGTTCAAGACCCAGGTGCCGCATGATGGAGTGAGCTCCCATCTCTAGTTCCAGCTCCTGCCAACCTAGCAGTTCGAAAGCAAGAAATTGCAAGTAGATAAATAGGTACCACTTCGGTGGGAAGGTAACAGCGTTCCGTGCCCCTTGGTGTTTAGTCATGCCGGCCACATGACCATGGAAATGTCTTTGGACGGCGCTGGCTCTTTGGCTTTGAAATGGAGATGAGCACCACAACCCTAGAGTCGGACTCGACTGGCTTTTGAGCAAGGGAACCTTTACCTTTACCTTTGTCAACATGAATGTAATGCAGACATTGGAAAGACTTGATTTGCTGGGTTTGGGGTCCACTTGATGGTCTGTATCCTACCATGTGACTATGCAAAGCTGAAGCCTTCTTCCAGCTAAAGAAGCCTTCTGGAAGAGTCCCTTTAGTTGGAGAAAGGCTGCTCGTGATGGATGAATTTCCTCTAACCTAAAGTAGGCTACCACCTCAATGGCATTTAATCTGATTGTGCTGGAACCAGAAAGTCATGATTAGCAGGTAAACAGCTACTAGCAGCATTCTGCAAAAGCATGCACAGGAATTAATGCAGTGCCATGGCAGGTAGGTTCTCCTGCTGTTCTCCTGCTTCTGCTTGTGGGGACCTTTATGCAAGGAAAATGCATTATTTTATTTAAAAATCCGTTTACCCTGCTCTTCTCCTGCAGAGCAGGGCCCGCAGTGGATTACGACAAAGGACACTCTAAGCAGGTATAACAGTTTAATGTGGTGGAATGTGCCATCAAGTCACAGCCGACTTGTGGCAGCTTGGTAGGATTTTCAAGGCAAGAGACGTTCAGAGGTGGGTTGCTGTTGCCTGCCTCTGCGTAGAGACCCTGGACTTCCTTGGTGGTCTCCCATCCAAATACTTACCAGGGCTGACCCTGCTTAGAAGAAGAAGAAGAGATTGGATTTATAGCCCGCCCTTCACTACCCAAAGGAGTCTCAGAGCGGCTTACAAACTCCTTTCCTTTCCCTTCCCTTCCCCTCCCCACAACATACACCCTGTGAGGTGGGTCAGGCTGAGAGAGCTCTGACAGCCACACTAAAAGTTTCATATGACATGGCTCAGGTCACAGTCCTTTCCCCAAGGTACAAGTCCTTGGAGGGTTTCATGCACAGAGTAGGGTGAGGATGAGCAGCTGGTCTCTTTACCCTTGCTGGGACTCTGTCCTCTGGCTGTTTCTGCCACGTAATAATACAGTGAATGCAAGATTTATTTATTTATTTATTTATACTTTCGATTTCTTATACCGCTCTAATCCCGAAGGTTCTCTGAGCGGTTTACATTGCAAATTACCAATTCTAACTAGGACCACATAGTATTGTGGGAGGTGAATTCCTATCAGGCACCCTGCTGGTTCTTTGTCGATCTCCCAGCGGATCTTCTCTCCTTTGATTCTGCACAGTAGGTGTCTCTCTCTCTTTTTTGGCTTTGGCTCTGCAGCGGCTCCTTTCAAGCAGTTCCGTTGCTCCGCGACTGTGCAATATCTTCTGCATGCAGAGGATGACTGACTCAATCATCACATTCACATATACTCATATATACAGCAGTGTGGTGTAGTGGTTAAGAGTGTGGGAGTAGTATCTGGGAGACCCGGGTTTAAATCCCCACTCATGCCATGGAAGCTTGCTGGGTGACCTTGGGCCAGTCAGACTCCCTCAGCCTACCCTACCTCACAGGGTTGTTCTGAGGATAAAATGGAGAATGATGTAAGTTGCTTTGGGTCCCCATTAGGGAGTGAGGCAGGATATAAATGAGTTAAATAAATAAATCAATATAATGCAAGCAATGATTTCCACCTATTCCCCCCTCAGGACTTGGGAGGGACCCCCAAAAGGTGCTGAAACTTCATAACAATGAGTACTGTCACAAAAAAGCCCTGCCAAGTTCATTTTTGAGTGATGAAGAATGTCTCCCATTTCTGGCAAATTTTAAAAACATTGCTTGCATTCCTATTTTTAATATTTCAAAGCTCTTCGGTGACCTTTTGTTGCTTCTTCTTGAAGCCATCTGTTTTCTTCTTTGCCCTCACTGGCATTGCTTGCCCTCACTGGCATTTAATCTGATTGTCTGTCACAACCCAACCCATGTGATTTTGTTGATGATGTAACAGCACTAGGTCTGATATGATATTGTGGGGAATGGTAGACAGAACCATTTGGGTCAGTGTAGCCAGTAGGATTAAATGGGAAGGTGGACAAAGCAAATCAAGGACATTGAGGGCACAGATGACAGAAAAGGACACTGAGGAGAAGTAGCAGCCAGCAGAGCAAAAAGATGCTGATCAAACATCAAAACAGTGCAAATGTTTGGTAAGACAAGTCTATACTTGTAGTATTCATCTGCATCAGATGTGATTATTTCAGAGCAAATTTTTGTCTAAACAAACATTTGTTTGATTAGGTAATGTATACCTCACCTTTTTCTTTTTCAAAAAGGAATCCAAGATACCTTAAAATCATAAAATAGTCCAAGAACACCGTAAGAACAAACAACAGGATTGGAGGTGCAAATCATGATCTAAAATGAACATCGGACTAGATAGCCAACAAACCACATCAAATGAGCAGCAGTGGTCTTCTGTGACCGCTGGTCTAACTTTAGATAACACAAGTTTACAAACGAGCGCACCACCAGCAGATCTGAAATCCTAAGCAACGGCATGTGTTGTTTTCTTTATTTATTGGACAGAGAAGAAACCCAGGTATATTTTATAATAGTGGAAATGGACAAGGACCCATAGATTTTCAAAAGTAGCTAAGATAACATTACGAGGAGACTGACATGTTGTCATGCTTGGTACATAATTGTTGTTGTTATTATTATGATTATTTGGCTGTTATTTTAGGAGAGTTGTGCTGTACATTGAAGGGCTGCTTATTTCTGCCCCCACCATGTATTCTTACTTCATCTAATACTGTATATTCATATTGTGTATGCCACACAT